CTAGAAAAATGCTTAATTTTGGCTCCTTTTTGGCACCTTATTCCTAAACATTTTGGGCAATTACCCCCAAAATCAATTCCAGCTTTCCCTTTGTGATACGGAACCTTGTTGTACAATTTCAGAAAGATCCATACACTTACACACAATTTATTGTCATGAAACTAGAAAAATGCTTGTTTTTTGCCCCTTTTTTGTCCCCTTATTCCTAAAATATTGAAGCAATTACCCCCAGCATTCCCTTTGTAATATTGAACCTTGTGGTACAATTTCAGAGAGATCCATACACAAACACACAAGTTGTGTCTGGAAGTTACAAAAATACTTATTGTTGGCCCCTAATTCCTTAACTGTTGGTACCATAACCCCCAAAATCAATCCCAACCTTCCTTTTGTAGTATTGAACCTTAAGGCAAAATTTCATAGAGATCCATTCACTTAAACTAAAGTTAGAGTGCGAAAACCAATGTGTCTTCGGACGAGGTTACTTGAACAATGGCATCATTGATATTTTTAGAAAAAAAATGAAAAATTTAGCAATTTTTCCATTTGTAAAGGGGAATAACTCTAGAAAGGTTAAAGTGACGCCACCAAAATTCAAACTTGATCTGTGTTTTGTGGTAATAGACATTGTGTATAAGTTTGGTTGAGGCAAACTTAAGTTAGAGAACGGAAACCAATTTTGGGACGTACGTACGTACGTACGTACAAACGGACAAGGGTTAAACTTAATACCCTCTCCGCTTCGGCGGGGTTATAAAAATATGGAAATAGCATCTTCATCTTTGCAGGATGCTGATATGGCTTTATAAAGTTCCATATTGAACACACCAGCATTTGGATGCTGGCATCTAATATATATATATATATATATAGACTTTGATATACCTTTTGTTTGGATGCTGGCATCCCAATTATATGCATGCGGACTCAACTTTCTCTTTGGATGCTGCCATCCCATTAAAAAAATTGGATGTTCATCCTTTAAAGTTAATCTCAGGGATGCTGGAATCACAGCTGTAATTAAAAATTATCTCAACACATTATAAATTGAATGCTGACAGTCATTTCCTTTGGATGCTGGCATCTGTTTCTGTGAAAGCCGGTGGCCGTTTTGTTTAAAGGCTGACATCTTTGCATTTTATGTTTCTTTATATATATATATTTTTTTATTATTTATTTATTTATTTATTTATTTATTTATTTATTTATTTATTTATTTATTTGTTTACTTATTCTTTCATCTATTTATTTATCTAGCTTTATTATTTATTTATTAAATTTGATTTTAAATCTTAAAAGTAGTTCATCTACTTGTATCTATACCATTGTACTTTTGGTTTAATAGAATAAAGATATATATACTGAATCCCTAGCTAGTCAAAACTGCGGTGTGGGTTCGGTGACAAGTGTGTTCCAGTCAAATCTTAATTGGTTAAGATTGTCATTTTTTGTGCTGAAGGTCGGTGATGTTTCTGCGAGAATTAAGGCTTCCTCCAACAATAAAAATTGGAAAAAAACTGACGATATAGCCAATATTATTTTCTTAAAGGAATTTATATTAACCCAATTTGTACATTTGCGGGAAAGTGTGCATATGTTTTTATATTTTTACTATAGTGTACTATTGTTTATACTACAAACTAAAAACGTTTTTGTTGGTGTCTTTGATAGATTTTGTTGAGTGTTTCTTAGGATTATCTTATGTACTTGTGTTGTATATTTATGATGTACATGTATGTTCACACAATTTTGGCTGCAGGGTTTCAATTATTGTCATGTTAACAAATTATGACTGTTTTAGTTAATTCAAACAATCTTGTTAATTTAAAGGAACTACATACAACTGTCACATAAGTAGGAGGTTTTTAGCTAGCTATGAAACCTGATTTTACCCAGCATTTTTCTCCGGAAAATGCCCGTACCAAGTCAGGAATATGACAGTTGTTTTCCATTTGTTCCGTTGGTTGATGCAGTCAAGCGTTTGGGCTTGTCAGTTAGTGTTTATGAACCTAAGCCTTTTTTCAATTTAACTTTATGTTGCATGTGCCACATTCTCATTTCAGCACCGATATATAGACCTCGTTATTAATCATATTTTTGTATATACATTTTCGGAATAACTTACAATTTGGGTCGATTAACTCGATTAAATTTCAATTTGTAGAGGTTATGTGGCATTTAACAACATTCGAAACTTTTTATGAAAATTCAAGAAAATTTTCATTAAAGTCCAGGACATTTGGAGACACCTCATAATAAACCCATGATGGCAGTACGGTTGCCTATGATTGTTGACATCCACTTCATTTGAACTTTGGTGAATAGTTGTCTCATTGGCAACATACCACATCTCAATATTTTTATACTTGTGATTTATTTATTTATTTATTCATTTATTTATCTTTTTTAGATTAATTAATTAATAAATTTTTTTTTTTTTTTTTTATTTATTTATTTATTTATTTATTTATTTATTTATTTATTTATTTATTTATTTATTTATTTATTTATTTATTTATTATTTATTTGTTTACTTATTCTTTCATCTATTTATTTATCTAGTTTTTTTATTTATTTATTAAATTTAATTTTAAATCTTAAAAGTAGTTCATCTACATGCCTCTATACCATTGTACTTTAGTTTAATAGAATAAAGATATATATACTAAATCCCAAGCAAGTCAAAACTGCGGTGTGGGTTCGGTGACAAGTGTGTTCCAGTGAAATCTTAATTGATTAAGATTGTCAATTTTTGTGCTGAAGGTCGGTGATTTGTCTGCGTGAACTAAGGCTTCCTCCAACAATAAACATTGGAAAAAAATGACGCTAAGCCAATACTATTTTCTTAAAGGGAACCTTATTACCTGCGGTAAATACTTAAAGTGTGAACGGCTATAGTCAAGCTATACGTTTCTATCCTTAAATCAAATGCATAAATTTTTCTGCTGGATAATTGACAATGTTTATGCTGTATCATTTTAATTATATAAAGTCACATCTCCAAGTATTCAGGAGAAAATTATGCCTGTAAGATAACATACACTGAAAAAACATTAGCAATAAACTAGGAACTAATAAGCATTAAGTTGCATTATGTAACATTTGCTTCACTTTGACAGACAAGTTATAATAGTTGAAAGTATGGTTGTGAGGAAGAATTAAAACAACTTTTCAACATTTCTTCAGTGCAATATGGCAATTTCAAGTTTCATTAAACTGCAAATATTCAAAACAGAATTGGTAATGAAAAGGTGCATCGGTACTCATCGCAAAGCAATTTATATTTTAAGTCATTGTTTAACCTAACAAGATGACCTTAAACAAACAATCTACCTAGATACTAGAGAATACAATAACAAGTTAGGAGATTGGTTCACTCATTTACCACGTATAATATGATTTGTACATTGATTAAAAGTGGTAACATATGTGGTAAATACAAGCAGATCGTTAACTGGGAAATGTAGTTTATTGACATTTTCAAGATGCTCGATTTCTTGATAGACATCATATTTGTTTCGCTTGGAGGACGTGTTTTTCAACAAACAATCGACTGTGCTCCTCTTCTTGCTTATTTGTTCCTTTATTCACATGAGGCTGACATCATACATGAGCTTCATAGAAAGAATAAACAGATGTTAGTATTATCCTTGAACTTCATTTTCCACTATATAGATGATTTCCTCTCACTAATAAAGTTTGGTGACTATGTTGAGCGCAAGTATCCCATCGAACATGAAATAACGTATATAACAGATACAGTTAAGTCTGCATCATATATTGGCTTACATATATAATTGACAATAAGAGTCGATTGGGAACAAAAGTTTACGACAAAAGAGATGATTTCAGTTTCTCAATTAACAACTTTCCATTTCTATTTAGAAACATTCCAGCAGCACCTGCATATGGAGTTCATATCTCCCATTTGATACGATATTCAAGAGCTTGTATTTTCTATCATGAATTCTTTGATATAAAGTTGCTGCTAAAATGAAAGCTATTAAACCAATAGTTCTAAGTGGTGAAGGTGAAATCATCCCTTCGGAAATTGTACGAATACAATCATAAGTTGGTTGACCGTTATTGAATATCTATTTCACAGATGACGATGGATATGTTTCAAAAGTCGGAACCACAATCCCGTCCTCTTTTCACCGAATCTGACCAACCGAATTAAACATATCACTGGGTTTGCGCTTATATGCGCATTACGGCGGATGTCACATGTAAAGCAGAATCTGCTTACCCTTCTGTCACCCCTGTTTTTTGTGGGGCTCGTGTTCCTCAGTCTTTATTTTTTGATGTTATGTTTTGTATACTGCTGTTTTTCTTTTGGACCTTTTGCGCTTTTTGCCATGATGTTGTTAGTTTTATTTTCGACCTATGGCAATGTCATTTGGTATCTTTTGCCCCTTCTTTTACATTGGAGGAGACAACCAATCAAAAAATGACACATCTTGACCACAGTAACAAAATAATTCACAGAATGAAATGAAAATGAGCATGACCAACACACGGTTTTTCATTAACACCGTGCTTATATATGTGAAAAAATCCGAAAATAAACAATAGCTCATGAACAACAAAGAACGCACAGGTAACTACAATACACTGGACATATTCTTTTTATCATCAATTTCTGATTCTGATAACCTTTAAACTGATAAAACTATTATTATGACAGAAGAGACAGGTAAAAAAGACTTTTTAGACACACGGTTTGTCTAGTTTTTTACAAAATTCTACATAAGGAAATGCCTGTACCAAGTCAGGAATATGACAGTTGTTTTCAATTCGTTTAATGTGTTTGAGCTTTTGATTTTGCCATTTGATAAAGGACTTTCCGATTTGAAATTTCCTTGGAGTTCGGTATTTTTGTTATTTTACTTTTTTCATATGACCTTTGAATTAATTTGAAAATTATCGCAATGAATTTTGTTTGGCAGGAAAATTCCGACTGAAAATTGCTAACATTACATATAGTAAATAGATAAAGGAGGGACGAAAGATACCAGAGGGACAGTCAAACTCATAGATCGAAAACAAACTGACAACGCCATGGCCAAAAATAAAAAGACAAACAGACAAATAATAGTACAGATGACACAACATAGAAAACTAAAGACTAAGCAACACGAACCCCACCAAAAACTGGGGGTGATCTCAGGTGCTCCGGAAGGGTAAGCAGATCCTCCTCCACATGTGGCACCCGTCGTGTTGCTTATGTTATTACAAATCCGGTAAATAGTCTAATTCGGTAAGTCACATTCGGGAAAGGGAAGGGTATTGTAGGATAACAGTGGACATTGTTATTTAGGAATAAGGCACTGGGGTAATAGGAAGAAATGTGTAACCTAACAACCCATCGATAGCATGCTTAATGTCAAATATCAAATAAAACTTCATCTAGAACACTCGAAGAGGATGACTGTGTTCTCTTTATTTTCTTACATTTCAATAGCAGTTAAAAATTAACGTATTGATGTATGTGTGTGTTCAATTTGTGTTTGTTGTTCTGTTCTTTATAAAAGAGGAATCGATGGCCAAGTTGTCTAAGTTGTTGATCTACTTAATCACTAGCTAGTCATCACAACAGTTGTGAGTTCAAACCCCACAAGTGGCAAGTGCATTTGCCCGCAAACGGTCGGTGGTTTTCTCATGGAACTTTGGCTTCCTTCAACAATAACTACTCAAAAATTGACCGCAACGATATAGCCAATACTTCTGAAACACCAACAATAAATCAAACGTAACATTCAAATAAATGTCTATAGATGAACTCATCATAGATATCATGATTAAAATTTTGTAATCCAGATACACAATTCGTCTACATAAGACTCATCAGTGCCGCTTGAATAAAAAAAAGTTAAAAAGGCCAAATAAAGTACGCAGTTGAAGAGCATTGAGGACCTAAATTCCTATATTTATCAACTACTATTTTTAGTAATACAATGTAAACAAACTATTATTAAAAAATCCAGTTTTTTACGTGACTAAACGAACCCTATCCGGAAATTAAAACCTTATATCCTGTGGTAGATACTTAAGCAAGTTAAATTGTGAACGGCTATAATACAACACGTAATTACCCTTAAACCATATGAATGAATGTTTCCGCTTGATAATTCTGCTGCATCATTTTGATTTAATAAAGTTACAACTTCTTGTATTATGGATATAACGTACACAGAAAACCATTAGCCATAAACTAAGCACTAATAAGCATTGGGTGTATTATATAACATTGGAATCACTTTGACAGACAAGTAATATTGTTGAAAGTATGTCTACAAGAAAGAAATAAAGCACTTGTCAGTATTACTGTAGTGGTATGTGGCAATTTCAAGATTGAAGAAACTGCAAATATTAAAAACATAATTTGTAATGAAAAGGTGCATTTCTACTCATCGCAAAGCAATTTATATTCGAAGTCCTTCGTAAACTTAATAAGACAACCTTTAAGAACCAAATCATCTTGATACAATTAACGATAAACAAAAAAAAAAAAGGAAATGCATTTATTCAGTAACCACGTGTTAAATTTACCATCATTATACTGGATACCAAAACTACACAAAACTCCATATAAAGAACGATACATAGCTTGGTCATCAAAATGTTCGACTAAACATCTTTCTAAAGTACTGACTACTATTCTTTCTACAGTTAAAGATGGGCTTCAAAAATATTGTGATGAGATATATTCTACCAGTGGTGTTAACCAGATGTGGATTCTCAAAAATTCGAAAGATCTACTGCTTAATCTTCGATCACAATCTTTGCAATTTTGCAGCAACATAAAAACTTTTGATTTTTCTACGCTTTACACTACTATTCCCCATGCTCAGTTGAAAGATCGACTTCACCATCTCATTAAACAGAGCTTTTTCTATAAAAATGGGAATCGAAGATACAAATTTCTTTAAATAATTCATATTTTGTGAAAAACCACACTGAATCTACCAGAAAATATACTGAAGATGATATTATCAAAATGCTGGACTTTTTGATCGACAATATATTTGTTGAGTTTGGAGGATTTATATTTCAACAGACAGTCGGTATTCCAATGGGAACTAATTGTGCACCCCTACTGGCCGATTTGTTTTTGTACTCGTATGAAGCAGAATTCATTCAGAACCTTCTAAAAGACAAAAAGAAAAAGCACCTTGCGAAATTCTTTAATTTTACTTTCCGATATATTGATGATGTTCTATCATTGAATAACCCATATTTCAGCCAATACTTACATCTCATATATCCCAGTGAACTTGAAATTAAGGATACTACTGATACTAGAAGGACTGCTTCATACCTTGATCTTTTCCTCAATATTGACACAGATGGACGACTTCACACGAAAATCTATGATAAACGGGACGATTTCAACTTCCAAATTATCAATTTCCCATTTCTCAGTAGTAACATACCCTCTGCTCCTTCGTATGGTGTTTACATATCTCAATTGATACGTTATTCTCGTGCTTGTTCACACTATACGGACTTTATATACAGGAGTGTGCTCCTTACGCAGAAACTGCTTCAACAAAGTTATGAGGAGGACAGATTAAAAATGACACTCCGTAAATTTTACGGACACCGTCACCAATTGGTTGATCCATACGATGTGTCTTTGTCAAAACTAACTAAGGACATTTTAACCACGTGTTAGATTGAGGTTTGTCATTACGTCGTCTGATCTTTGAATTACCTAACGTGACTTATTCCCGATTGTCACTGTTTTGCTGAGTGTGAAATCGCATTGCTATAAGACGTGCCACGGTACCTTTCTATCCCAAATTCATGTATTTAATTTTGATGTTATATTTGTTGTTCTCGTCGGATTATGTCAAATGTCTTAACGTATTTTCTGTTATATTCGTGTGTTATGGTATAGATAATTAGTCACCCCCTTCATTTATTAGATTTTAGTTTGGTTCAACGAAATTTATACGATATATTTGGTTTACAGTTTGATTCAGAAGAAACACCGACATAGCTAGATAATACAATTAATTATCTAATTACTACCACAATTTGATATTAATAAGTATTGTAATTTTCATTGTCATTAATAAATGTAATGGCAGTATTACAAATCTAATCTTGAATCAATCCTAATCCTATCTTATTTTTGGGAAATATTTTTACAAATTCATATGTGACGTCACTTTGTGTGCTTTTTTAGAATTTCAAATGTGACGTCACTTTGTGCGTTGAGGCTTTAGCTAACTCGGCTGTGGATTTTTATATGTTGGATTAAGTTGTTTTATGTAATGTTTACGTTTTTATTCTGTAGTTAGTCCCCACTTTGGTTTTATCATGTATATCTATTATATAGTCATTTCATAAAATTTACTGTTTGCAAAATTATAAATTATTCTAAATAATAAGGATGTTCTTGTCCCAGGCAGAAAATCCTGGCAGTGTTAGGCGCAACTTTTTAGAAGTTTTGGTCCTCGGTGCTCTTCAGCTTTGTACTTGTTTTGGCTTTCAAACTTTTCTTATCTGAGCGTCACTGGTTGGTCTTGTGTGGACGAGACGGACGTCTGGCGTATTGAATTTTAACTTCTGCTAGCTATTATTCGTGTGTTTCTTTGTCCTATATGTTCTCCCATTTATTTTTGTATTGTGGTCCTGTCATGTGATGTTGTCGTTTTGGTGTTGTGTTTGACGTTGCCATAAAAGCGGGAGGTTTGGCATGCCACAAAACCAGGTTCAACCCACCATTTTTTCTTAAAATGTCCTGTGCCAAGTCAGGGAAATGGCCATTGTTATATTATAGGTCGTTTCTGTGAGTGTTACATTTTAATGTTGTGTTTTTGTTGTGTCGTTGTTCTCCTCTTATATTTGATGCGTTTTCCTCAGTTTTAGTTTGTAACCCGGATTTGTTTTTATCTCTATCGATTAATGAGTTTCGAACAGCGGTATACTACTGCTGCCTTTATTTATATTTTTTTTTATTTGTGTATCATAAAAGTTAGGCGAAAGATGCAACAGAGATGCTGAGTCGAAAACGAACTGTGTCCGTGTAACTTCATAAAAAGTGTCCATATAACACCCGTCAATGTACTGTTTTCTATAGCTCTGCTGGGGGCAAAGTCGTGCAAATTATAGTTTGCATTTTAATCAGGGAAAATAATGTGTATAGTCATTATTTTATGCCTTGAAGCAAATTTCATTGAAACTTGGTATCGTCCGGATTGATTCTTCAAAAGAAAGACCTATCGTTCTGAAAGAAAATAACTCCATATAGGTATATAAAAGTCAGATAATCCGCTCGGGGTGTCATGATTGCCCAAAGAAAGACCTCCCTACGGTCGGTTTTTCATTTGACCAATCCTGACACCCTTCGGTGTGTTATACGACAAGAAAACCCTTAAAATATGCATTATCTGTAACGGAATTTACGCATACGGTTTGTAATGTATTTTGCCAATACCTGTATGTGCTTTACGATTATGAGTCATAAGGTAAGTATCAGGGATGCTAACGATACATGCAAATTTATTCCTCTTGTTTATGTCTCTTTAGTGATGCTCGAACCCAAAACATTTTAAAACTAAAAACTTAATACCAGTACATACTTTGAAGAGCTCATACAAAATCCGTGTAATATCCTCATACATCATTAATTTGCATATAGTTAGACATCACCGGAGTATATATAGTACAAAAGAATTCACTGAGTAAACGATAAATTTCACTGTATAAAACTAATTAATTGTAATATTTACGTTCACTTAAGGTGTAATACCACCAAATCATTGTACGTCACATCCGGTTGCATATGAAAATGGGTAAAAAAAATATATCCTTGAATTTGACAGTTGTAGGAAATTAATTCTACATTTCATTGCAGTAAAACATTTCTGTGTCATAGACATATATCTTGGGTATTTCAAAGCACTTTTATGTTTTCATTTGGTGTTTCTATAGAATATTTTAGAAACTTGAGGTTACATGGTTACTAAAGCTTGTACACAGATAGAAAAAGGGTGAACATTTGATTGGTTAACTTTCAGTGATGGTTATTTTCTTATATGCAATGAAACGTTATGTGAAATTTTGTCTATTGTAAGAAACAGGATAAAACTTTACTCATGCCAAGTATTTCTTTAAATGAAACAAATGTAACGTCTGCACAATTTTTTGAAAAGTGCA